CTCTCACACACACACAAATGCACACACACACACGTTCACACAGGCGCACTGGGCCTTGCAAGGCGCAGCGGCACTCCTGGGACGGCGAGCTCCTCGAGGAGCTGGAGCGCAGAGAGCACGCCCTTGCGAGCGAGCTCTACCCGCCCGTCCAGCCGCCGGCGGTGCCGCCCGGTGCCGCTCTTCCTCCTCCTCCTCAGCCTCGGCCGCCGCGGAGGCCGCCGCCGCCGCCGCCGCTTGCGCCGCCGCCGCCGCCGATTGGGGCGCCGCGGCCAGGTGGCGGCGACTCGCGCAACGCGCTGCTGATGGCGATCCAACAGGGCAAGCCCCTGAAGAAGGTGGGCCAGCCCGCCGCCGCCGACAGCAAGGCGCCGCGCGGCAGCGAGGCCGCGCCGGGCGGCGGCGGCGGCGATCTGATGCAGGCGATGTGTGAATTTGGAGAATGGCCCGAGATGGCCCGAGATCACGCGAGATCCACCCGAGATCACGCGAGATCCACCCGAGATCACGCGAGGTCCACCCGAGATCACGCGAGGTCACCCGAGGTCACCCGAGGTCACCCGACCTGATGACTAGTATCTGATGCAAGGCCCTCCGCGCTCGGATGGACGTGCGGCGCAAGGCGATGGGCACTTGGGGCTCCGCCGGGGGCACGTTGGGATCTACGGCGGGCACGCTCCCAGCCGCCAACGAGTTCCGCACTGACGCGGCCGTCGAGCCGCCGGCGCCACTGGAACTGGATCAGGTGCGAGGGCAACAAGTCGGCGCACCGGTGGCGCAGGGAGCGTCGCAGCCGCCGCCAACTTGCTGGTCCTCCGCGGAGGACGCCAACCCGTTTGGCAACCCGTTCTAGTGCGTACGTCAGTACGGCTTTAGTGGCTGCGTGGGGCCGGCTCCGGACTCTGTCACCGAGGGCGGTGTACGTTTCAGTTCTCCGACAGAGTAGTACAGTGTATCCCGCAACGTCCAACGTGTCCGCCGTTAATGTATAATTACAGCATACAGGGTAGGTTCACGCTCACATGGGCAACGGCGCAAGCATTAGCTGCATACACGAGTCTAAAGCACGATGTGCATGCACATGAGTGATGAGACATAATATTGACTATTGTACGGGGTCATCAGCAACCCCCTCTTTTGTGTGTGACACAGTCAACACCCAGCTCACGGCTTTACGGCTCTAGCAGGACCGGCACGGACGAGCGTGGGCCGGACACTCTGCAGAGACTCTGGTGTCTGCTGTCACAGGAGCTTTGCGCGGGCGAGCTGCAGCTTGCGCAGCGGCTTGCCCTGCGCGCAGAACGCGTCGGCGCCGCCATAGGCGCACGCCCTCTCCCGCGACGCCGCCATCCCCTCGCCCTGCCCCGGCACCGCCACCACCGGCAGCGCCGCGATCGCCGCCAGCGCGTCTCCCCCCTGGAGGACCCTGCCGATGACGACATACCTACAGGGCAGGGGGGGGGGGGGGGGCA